TTTATTTTAGAGACAGGACAGTGGACAGACCCCAAAACCAGGTAGAAAGAGAGCGGAATGACATGCAGGAAAGGAGCCATAGGTCGGACTCCAAACCCGGGCCGCCTGCCTGGAGTACCGCAGCCTCCAAACAATGGAGCATGCGCACTACCCACAAGGCTACCGGCACCCCCCTTTTGAACATTTTTTTTTAAATCACAGGCCATCTCTATATAAAGGAGATTCAAGACACCCCACAAACCATGCCCAAATAAAATAAAATAAAAAGAAACATGTGTGGAGGTCAAAGGTGATCCAAAGACACCGATCATGAAGCAGGAAAACCAAATTCCACTTACACTGAAGCTATCTGTTTCACAAAATGTAAACGTAGTCTGACCCAAAGCTGAAACAATAAAAAGCCCAATATTAGCATCTTAATATTTTCATAAAACAACTGGGAACAATTGAGAAGAAAGAGAAGGAATGTCTTATTAAAAGTCACCATCTGTGTGCAGGAAAGCAAAACAGAGACAAGATCACTCTCCAACAACACTTCAATATTCTTACCAATGCAACAAAAAACAAGAGAAACTCAAGCTGAATGTGATAACTGATACCTATAGCAGGACCTGAAATTATTCTTTTAACTGGTTATGAAACAGACTGTGTTTAATGCTGAATGAAGCCTCTATGTGCACTACAAAAGAAAATCTGCTCATCTTGCTTCCCTTACACGCACACGCGCCCGCCCCGCCCCCTTGTCTCTGAGCTTGTGTGATCTTTTGATGATATTCATTAGTAGAACTTTATGTATGACGGCGTTTCACAAGAAGCAGTGTTTCTCCACGTGCGACAGTCTCTCTCTGCTCTGCTTTCACTCCCTGCAGGCTTTGTGGGCGTGCCAAACAGTTGTCATGTTGACAAGCACAACGAGAGCCGTGGCTGCTGGCTAGTCTTGCCGACCGTCCATGGCTTGTTGACATACAAGATGTACCGAGTGAAATATGGCATTATTTTGCTTACGTCGCAGTAAGCAGTCAGAGTAACCCCACAGAACCCACGATGGGTTCTGTGGGAAACGATGTTTCAACAACGTTTTAAACTCACGTAGACCAGGGGAGCTAACATCCAAAGCATCTTGTCAATAAACATGCCAAGTTGTTTAAGGAATTCAAAGAGCAACAGGTTACATACAGAGCTGAGACCTCTGTTAATAAGGAGCTGTATTTTGTTAATTCTACTTTAGTGCGGTGCTAAAGGAGGAGACTAATAATCCTGGGTTTTAGTTTTTTTAATCATAAAGTGACAGACTTACAGTTACTGTCATTTCTGCATATTGTTTTTATATGCTATCAAACTCAATTATTAAACTATTGTCATGATTTTGGTATCGTGACAACACTACTCGGCAGCAGAGCCTTTTACAAAGTTGCCTAAATGACACACAGCTCCTGAAATGTTACTCCTGGGTCAGTTCAGTGGTTATCCACTTGGTGGCACTAATGACGTTTAATGTGTCCAAACAACCCAAAAACTGTGCAGGATGTCTCAGACCAAACAGCCACATTTTTCACTCGGATTTTACCCGGAGTTTCTCCTGCCAGCAAGTCCGAGTGAGCTGATGTGAGAACGCAGAAGGATAGTATCTGGAGAATTCCCCTCGAGCCAGTGGGAGGGGGAGTACAGTGCATTGTCTGTATCCATGAGACAGCTACGATCTCCGAGCATGTCATTAACCGGCTGCATCATGTTTTCTGTTCGTCAGTATGTTGTTCTCCACTCCTTTGTTGACTTTGTCATTCCATTGAACAACACGCAGCATTGACATAAAGGCAAATATTCTCATTATAACAGCGTATAGCGTCCCTGTTGTTTGCCCGCTGCTTCCGCGTCGGTTTTTTTTTTTTACGTCACGCCTTGCCTCAGCAGAACCCCCCCCCCCATCTGACAGGGATAGTCTCCCGCTGTGAGTTGCATCTGTAAACAGCATATTTTTGTGTGTGCTGCATATGTGAAACGGCTTATAGCTCTTCTGTGCTAAAATGTATTTCAGGGGTAGTATTAAAAGTATTCCCTTTACACTGTGAATGTAACATAATAATAAATAATAATATTAAACGTTATTTATATAGCACTTGCCTGCAGCCCATGTTAAGCTACAGCAATAGCACTATACTCAACAGTATCTTTCTAGTAGAGTAGGACTGCGTGGTATAAAGAAACCGACATCGGTTATTTGTTTTTCACGTGATCATGTCATTTTGGTATTTCAACCTTTCAGTCCAAATGATGCGTTCCATTAGATCTGGGAAGTCGGACGTTCCTAGTTCCCGGTCTGATACATCATCAAAACGCTTCCCTGACGTCTGAATTAAAACTCAGAGAACCTTCAGTACAGGGAGTAAAAATCCAACATTGCTGCTACTGAAGTCAACAGAAACGTTTAAGCTGTACCTGTTGTGTTCAGTAACAACTTAGTGTAAATAAATCAATCACACCGATAGTGTCGTGCAAGTTCTATCTGTGGATATGAGGTCATGTTCATTTTTGCGCAAACTCTCACAGTGTTGTTATCGCCAGGTATTAGCTAACAAAACAAAAAGGTACTACTGGAGGCATCCATGTTGCTTTGTCCGACTTGTTGCCAACTTACAACTGGAACGAGGTAAACTCAGGAGTGATGTCATTCCCATCTCCGCGTTCTGAGGTAAATGGAACGCACCATCCAAAGTATCACTTCAGCATTTATGTGCTACAAATTAAACAACTGAGAGGAAACATCCCATATGGAAAGTTTGCATATGTAGCCACTGCATATGCAGTTATAGAAGTAGCTCCACTGATGTGGGGAGTATAAACACATTAAAGCTACCTTGAAAACCTGTTGGTTAGTTATGTGATATTATCTGTGAAAAGTAGTTGAGAGTACTCGTTTAGGGGCAGGTGATTTATCGTCTCTGCATGTACAGCAGCCAGTTCACTCAAATGTAAACCTTTCAAGTGTTTTTTTTATATATATATATTCGAGCAGCACAAAGTAGCAGAATGGCTACAACACACATCACAATCTTCAGTCAGAAACAATATAGTATGCACTCAGAGAGGAAACAGTGTGTTGCATTGCAGCAAACTTAAACATATATATACTTACTATAGGTTCTTTCATTAACCTGTCATGGTCTGTCATGGGAAGGGACTCACCTGAGGCCCCAGGATACGATATTATCCCAATACTTGAGTCAAGATACGATATTATTGGGATTTTAAACACTTTGTGATGTGCTGAGAATTGTGGTACAATATATTGCAATTAAGCTTTTTTTAACTGAATATTATGTCCACAAAATTCAACAAAATCAAGAACTGTTTTGTCAAATAAGAAACCATTCTCAGGCTATTCACTTCACGATTGATTTCTACACAATGTGAGTCAAGCTCCCAGACGGACCAACACTGTGATCAAATTAAAACCCTGTAAAAGGTTCACCTCTCGATCTGAAATGTTAGTATTTCAGTCTAACTAAACTTGAACATGAATTTTTTAACAATGCAGCTTGTTCAAAATGAATTGTGTAACCCCTTTAGTAATTAAAAAAAACCACATTTGATACTAATATATCATTTTGTTCATCTTCAAAAGCTCTCACTTGTCAACCTGTCAACTCAGATCATGCAGTTCCAATAAAGAATCAGCTAAACCCCTCAACAGCTACAAGTGTGTTTTGTTTTTGCACGTTTTGATTCTCTACATCAGTGTCCTCCTCACACTTTAAAAAGAGAGGGAGACTGACAGCTCATTGTGCTGTATTTTTGCTTTATTTCAATTTACATGTAGCATTTACTTCATCTTCATTTTCTTAGACTTTAAACTTAATCTCAGTGATTAATCAGAGACAAGCAAACATGTTGTTTTTTTGTTTTTTTAATATAAGCTCTTTCCTCTTCCAGTGCTAAGTTGTTGCAGCTCTGAGTAAGTGCATCTTAGAAGCATAAAGTGTGAATTCAGAAAACAACAAACCACAGAGAGGTTCAAGCACCACTACGGCTAAACATTAAATACCTGCTAGTTCCAATGTTGCACGCTAACCCCCTTAACTTGCACTTGTGATTTAAAATACTGATTCTTCATGTACAGCATCAAACTGTCAAATGGCGCTTCTGCTCTTAACAAATGAAAATGAGTCTGTGCATGGCAAAGTCTATTCTCTAGAGAAACGCTCTCTCTCAAAGAGGCCTTTTCTAGAGCAGCCATCAGGAGAACATTGTCTCCCTTTCTCACAGACTTAATTAAAGCCAACTCTTTTTCATTATCTAAGCCATGTTTTACAGGCAGATAAAATTACAGTAAAGTGGAAAGTGACTACAGGGTTGGGATAAATAAGAGGTCTGTTAACAGCTGCTTGTTAAAGCTTTACTAAGCCAAACTCAAAGTTATACATCTATAATTAAGAACATGCCTTAATGTTTCTGACAGTACTTTGAATGTATTCATTTAATAGGGACAACGCAATTTAAGTTTCAATGCAAAGCATGAAAGTGATGTGCTGCATAAAAGGTAAATATTACTAATGTCCAACTTTACCTTTGGGTAAACAGAGTAAAAATATTCAACTTTCATCACATAAATTTTGTGTTATTTGTTATTAAAAAAAAAAACAGTTCTAAACTTGTGTGTTGTGAGATGTAAAAGGCATAGCTGGTAAAGAAAGAACATCAAACAATCTTCTAATCAATGTCATATTACTTTTACATTAAAAACCGGTGACACGCGCTGGGAAATAATCCCTAGAAATAGAAAACCAAACGTAAATCACACCTGAATTACGATTTGCATATCACATTGCATACAAATCCTGTGGTGACCAGGTTACTGTGGCTTGTGCGGTCATGGTTGTGTTTTGCATATAGCAAACCTTCCAAAGCAGAGATTTAGCACTACGCTGGTTTGAGTGTGTGACACAGGTAGAAAGAAGGTGACACTGTCTGTAATGAAACCCGGAGAATTAATGCAGACCTACCAAGCAGCAGAAGCTTCAGTTCTCGTCTTGCATCTCTCTTGTCTCTCCGGAGTTGTTTCTCGATCTCAGAGTTGATGCGTTTGGACTCCTTCGCCTCCTCGCTCAGGCAACAAGCCATCATGGAGTCTAAAGTCATCACCGCATGAGCTGAAAAGCCCGTCTGACAAGTGGGAGTTAGTCTACACCTCTCTCAAAGTATCAAATAAATAAAAGAGTCCGTTTTCAAAGTGCAGTATCAAGATAATCGACCTTGATGGACTTGCTTGCTTGGTGCAGGATCTGGCCTTCTTTGCAGATGGTGAAGACTGACTGCCAAAGTAGCCTATAGAATATTTGACAGCTTGTTCAAAGTCCTGTGCAAGTCCTACAGCGAATGGCAGCTGAACATGGATAATTTGCAATGCATTATATCCGCAAACAGCTGGTGTGTCAGTCCGACATGGAGGTTACCATTTTAATTCATGCATCTCTCGTTTAAAAAAAAAAAGAAAAAAAAAAAAGAAGCTCAAACTAGCTGGGAAACGATGCCTTCGCAGGAATAGCTTTAGAAGCTAAAACGAGGCTAACGCGACAAGTTGATGGATGTCCACTGTGACAACACTTTCAAAACCCACGGCCAAGTAGCCCCGGAAACCTGTCGCTCTTGAGGGATTTTTTTTTTTTTTAACTACCAACTTCGGTCCCAGAGACAGTGGGACACAACTAGCTGCCACTGCCACATAGTGTGTGTGTGTGTGTGTGTGTGTGATCGCTCTCTGCTGGTTCGCCCGGCCGAGTCTGAGCTTAGCCGCCCCGAAACCAGCAGCACTGTACGCCCGCGCAGTGACGACGAGCGCCCGTCAAACTGTCCATGTACTGAGCACAAACAAGCTGACCCAATGCCTCTGAACCTACAACCAACAAGGATCCTTTTTTTTTTTTTTTTTTTTTTTAAACGATCTGAAAGAAACTATCGATTTGAATTGCGCAACAAACAAAAAAAAAGCAGTATTTATGTCTTGCAGAAGGAAGGAAGGCGACGAGTGACCAGTGTGGCTAAATGGGAAGGCTAATTGTGAGCTAGCTCCGTTAGCTCAACTAGCATCCCTGGAATTGCAGCCAACTGGTTAAAAATGAGAAAGCTGAGCCTGACAGAGGACCTTCATTATGTTCAGCTAGTGCTCTCCGATTCACTTCACCGGCACCCAAACCCAGAGGAAAAAAACCCAAAAAGCTCCGAATGACAGTCAAATGAAGCCTTATAGTCCGTGCATTTTCTGATCCTGATATTTTTTTTTTCCTGGTGGTGGTGATAGCTCTTCGTCACCCACTCCTCCTCAGCCCCGGTGTGCTGCTGCTGCCGCTGCCGCTGCTGCTGACGTCGCTTGGGATATAGTTGATTGACTGAGGGTTAATCGAATGAAAACAGGGCTTGTGGGCGTTTAGGGTGGGTCTTTCATGAATGGTTAACTTCTCCAAGTTTGGTTGACATGAAGCTTTCCTTTTCGGAGGCGTGTCAGGCAAAGAATCTGACATTCGGCTGGAGGGGCAACGCCCATCTCCTGTCAGAGACCGACACTTCCACACGTCGGTGAAGTTAGGAGGATATTCACTGATTCGGCTTTCCCGGATCAGTAACTCATCAGCGGCACATTATTATTATTATTATTTTTTTTTTTACAAAACCGACACCTCTTTGCAATCACAGCAAGCTAGGCTGCGAGCTACAACCGGGGTTTTCCTCCTCCGCGCTGGGGACCTTACGTCGGCCTCTCCGCGGAGCAGCCTTGAGGGACCGTCTGCAAATTACAACACCGAAAAAATATAATCACTAACTTCAGGAGAGGTGTCATCAAAATCATTTTTACACATAGTGATATCACGTTGTTCATACTACATTTCTCAGTTTGGAAAACAATATTTTTATATAAATTTGAGGATTTTTTTCAAATACTTTTCAATAAAATCCCTTTTATAAGCTGTAGGTTAAAAAGAAAGCACACCGTCTTCCTGCTGTATAAACTACAGCACATAGCTTTGGAAAATGTGCTTTCATGTCATTTTAGGGATTTCTTATCAGTAAGATAAGTAATAACTGTACTATAACATGTTGTAGTGTTATCAAACTCACAGCACACATAAATGAACTCCTTTGGTTTTACTACAAGCACTTAGTTTGATTTGGAATTGGTTGAATTGAATTCGAATATGCTTTTAAAATACATTGCACAAATAGTTTCCAACCCTTTACTGCTTGTGATCCTCAAGTTGTGGCCTTTTGTAACATTTGTCTTTCAGTAATTATTTACCACTCCATTCAACGCTCACACCCTGTGAGATTTATTAATGCACAGCTATTTTTACAGACACATGTAGACAATTGTAGACAATCTTATTTTGTATAAGGTGAGAGTATTTCTTCTGCCACTGTCTAAAAAACAGACCTTGATGCATTTTGGAATACCCAAAAGACACCGGTTCAGCCAGAAGCCCTTCAGAAAGGGTCCAAAAGTTTGCTCTTAGAGTCTAATACAATATTAGCTCTATAGCTTTCTCTCAAAAGAACCGGTTGACAACAAACAAAACAGGTAGCATCATAGTTACTGTCAATATTTGCAGTGCCTTTCCCTTTTGTTATTGGAATATGGATTAGTGTTGTGTCTCGTGGTTTCCTGTCATGCTGGAATTACAAAACAGAAAGTTTCATATTTTCTTCAGGTCATTTCCTAAAACTGCAGTTAAAACTACTGCAATCCAGTTGATTCTTTTTTTAATTTCAAAGTAATATTATCAGCAGATGGCTTATGTGTCAAAAGTTAAAATACTATTGTGTACAGTTACTTATTTGATATGTTTACATGTGATTATTTTCAGCAATTTATTTAGTTGGAAAAAGACGTTTAACCTATTTGTTGAGAATGGTGGTCAAAAAATCAGTTGATACATTTGTACACTAACCTGTCAAACAAATGTAGTTTAGGAGCATTCAGTGTTCAATGAAAAACAAATCATCAAGGATAAATAATCCATGGCCTCCGCAGATATCAGAATTTCTGTTCCCCTTGCAGGACAGAATTTCTTTTTACATTTCTTTTGTATGGTATATTCAAAAAGGGACAAAATGAATATTCCGGGGTGGGAAAGGGCATTTAAAGTGGGAACACACCGAATCGATTGTTACCCTGATTAAAACACTCAGCCATTGTTGACCATGGTGATAGTGGGAAATATTTTCAGGCTATTTTTGTCTTTGCTCATTCAATCTTTGCCTTGTGAAAAAATTGTGATAAATTAAAAGTGATACATTTTGCAGAGGAGAGCTGTTCCCTTTGAAATAAAAGTTAAATGCACAAGTTAAAATGCTGGTTAGCAGCACCTCATCTGATGGTGATGATTCTGATCATAACAGAAACAAAGACTTTCACCATCGTCGAGGCATTACATTTATGTCTGTTTCTCTCTATTCAAATGGTTCAGTGTGAAACAGCTGGCTGACAATATTGTTGAGAAAAGTGACATCTGGTGGACATGTGATGTAGCTACAAGAGGTTTTTTTTTAAATCACAAAAAGATGAGGTATTAAATCTTAAATGTCTGTCATGAAAGGACTCCTGTAATTGACCTGTGTAAGAATCTCTTCTATTTTAAATTCAAAGCAAGAAATCACCTAACAACAGCTATTATGACTCATGAGATTACAGTTTGATTGTCACATTATCAACACTGCTACTTATTCCACAAGCTCAAAGATATGACTGCACACTTTGTTCATTCCTTTTGAACTGTCTGACACAACAAACAAACATTTTATTTTTAGATGATGATAGATGCTCATTAGTTTGAATTATACAAAACACATTTCACCCATTTCCCTTTTACCTTCTTTTCTTATCTTTTTTTTTCCTCTAGGCATTTTTCCTTCTATGTGCTTATCTGTCTGTAGCCTTTCCTCATTTTAACTTAAGCACAATCTTCATGATACATCCTTATGGCTGCAGCAGAGAGGGGCTTCTGGCTGTTTAAGCCACCCATAGAATTACCAGAGCACCCCCATAGCACCCACAATCATTTTACATTTTGCTTTGATTTGTTTTTTTCTTTAACTATCTTTCCCTTTTCAAAGTCACCATCATTGAATGATTAAAATTATTTTTTAATTGTCCATAATTTTGATGATTGTGCCCATTTATAAGAATGATATCTTTGATATTTGTGATAATGTGTCGCTTAGATTTAAATGATGTATTAGTTGTCAGATATGCCTCTCTGTTCTCTTCATTTACAAAGTTATTGATTTTTTTCTTTGCCAACATTTTGCCAACATCTCTGCTTTGCTTTTTTTCGTATTGGTCAGTGAAAATTGTTTTCAGTCTGACAACTTGACTAACTTGTAGACTTTTTTTGGATGAAAACTTGTTGCATGAATAAGTGTATTTCATTCTGTAGGTTTGGTGTAAAGAGAAGAAGAGAGGGATTTTTTTGGGGTTACATTTATGTCAAGATAATTTCTTTCCCTTGTAAAAACTCTAATAGAGTGGGTATAGGTCCTTTCCAAAGTAAAAACACCTCATCAATATTTTGCTTCCAAGAAATACTAAAAGGGAGAAAAGTTGTTTGTGTCTCTTACTTCAGATGATCTACAAAAAGACATACAAAGCTAGGTGTCATTTTTGTGTCAGTAGCAGAAATCTGGAGATAGTGTACGTCAATAAAAACAGAAGAAGGTCCTCTTCAGAACAAAGGAGGCCAAATGGACTAAGAAGGTGGTACAAGGAGTTCTCACTGATCTGGTGTTAAGAAGACATTCCAGTGTGTCTCAGCCTTGCTTTAATATCAAGGACATGACAACTTCTGGATCAGTGTGTTTTGAGAATAATGAAATCAGAGGTGTATTCTAAAGGATCTTAAAGTGGGAACATGGTCTTTGATGTGGGAGTCCACAAAAAAGTGTTTAAGGACACTGGACTACAATAGTCAAAACAAGATGGCGGTGTTCTTTGGGGACGGGCACAAAGATAGTTTTCTTAAAGCATGCAGTGAACAAACAGAGTGACAGTGACAGGTTAAACATGTCTGTAAAATCATGACTGACTAGAGCAGCGCTCAAAAAGTGACAAAACCGCACACAGAGTAACTTTATTAGTTATCGGATAGCCAACGATGTAAATGAGATTCCGGTTAGCTTCCAGGATACCTGTAAACCACAACATGAAACCACCAGGTCTACTCTGGAGCTGAGACGGTGACCCCTGCGCATGTCAGTATCATTATTTGAGACCAATGCAGTACCTTGAGTTAAGATATGACTTTCTGCACTCATTATTTAACTATTTAAACTGAAGGAAACACAATTCATTAAAGATGAAATGAGCTTTAATGTCATTAATTGGCAGTATTCTCTCCTGCTTTACAATTTGCCACAATTTCCCGGTGTTATGGCTTTTTTTTTTTTTTTAAAGAGTCTTCCCACTAGTACTGAACAATGGATTCTTATTAAAAGATATAACGATAGCACAAATACATTTTTTTCTTTTGTATTGACTTATCTATTGCTCATGAAGTATCAATCATCTGATTTTTCTTTTCTTTTTTTTGGTACAATACCAGAAAGAAGAAACTGATTCTTGCTTTGGACTCTCCTCAACAATGTTCTTCTTCGGTCATATCCAACTTCCAGCCTCACAATGTTGATAATCAGCCAAAATCAAGAAGTATTTCATATCAAAGGAAGAATAATGTGGACATATTTTAGATATTCCCAATCCCCCTTTATTTTTATTCCTTGTTCATTTCAATGGAATCAAAGATATGATAAAGATGTCAGGATTTGTACTTTCTGTTATGAGTGTACAACATCAAAGCTGCAGAAACTCAGTGTCCCAGACTTACAGACTGAGTGATTTGAAAAAAAGAAAGAAGTCAATTCTATAAGCAGGGATTGATAACAATGACAGTAACATTCACCAGTTTACCCATGTGAGAGTGCTAACACAGAACCAAATAGTCAACGACTCACATTATGAAGAAAAAGAAACGAGAAAGCAAAATAGACATAAAAAAATCAAAACGAATTTCTTAAATTATTTTTTTTCAAGCACTAAAATTAAAGGTCACAAAGTTTTAAGCATTAACACAACATGAATGGCATCCATTACAGTCAAAAGATATTTTGAGCCACTTCCTTTGCTGTGCCATGTCCCAGCCAATAGGAAGCTGACCTGTTATCTGCAACGCCATTGACATTTGTAACTCTTTTTCAACTTACATGCTGCACTTAAAATGGCAAATGGAGTACAGAAAGTTGGGTACCATTTAAACATTTTTAAAATAAAGAAAATGTAACTATGTATCTAACCAGAATAGATT